TTCTTGGGTGAGTGTTCTTGGGCACTTTCTTGGGTGGAGCTACCTGTACTCTCAGGAGTATTAACATAACAGAGCAGCGTTTGAAATTTTTGTGCCTTCCAAGATGAAAGTGACCATTTCTAGTATCAGCTGGTTTTCACCTGTTTTGGGGAAAAGGAGTAGACTTGCAGTGCAGAAGACCACAAATATAGAGTGTAAGTAATAAAAAGGAAAACACATACCAAACCATTAATACCAGTTGTCTCCATAGGCTTTGCATGTGATTTTCACTTTCTATCTTGTGTAGATCTTTATTGTTTGAGTTTTGCACAGTAAACAACATAGTCATTTTTTAAATTGAGAAGTTTAACTCTTAGTTATGAATGTAGGTGCAAGAGTAGATAGCGTTTCATTACTCTGACCCCCAGCCCAGCCCCTCTGTCCCAAGGATATAGAAGTTAACAGAAGACTGCTTATGTGAACAACAGCAGAAAAAGCAATGGCCTTTCTTTCTTTCTTTCTTTCTTTCTTTTAAATAATGATTTCAGTGGTCAGTGAATGTGAGAATCATTGACAACCAAGTTTCCCAGGTACCGCCTAGAGATGATACTGGCCCCATTGACAACAACCACTGCCTTGTGTGAAGGTCTGCACTCTTGGTATTTGTAGGGATAGAGAGATTTAGAAAACAGAGTTGACTAAAATTGTGAACTGATTATATATGGAAGAGTTGACACATAAAGAGTCTAGTATAGTGTGACCAGTCACCCCAGCGACAGGGTGAGCACTGGATCTGCTCACTCGGGAGGGGATGCAGAACGAGAGGCAGGCCTTGGGGAGGACGGGGTTCCCTGGAGGACTCCTGTGAGGAGTGGCAGCTGGGAATGCAGGCGATTGGCTGGGACAGGAAATAGATTTCAGGTTCCCAAAACCATGGGTAGATGAGATCTCTCCAAAAATATAGGGTAAAAAGAGAGCCAAGGGTGGAACCTTGAAGGACATAAAAGATGAGTCATTGAATGAAATGCAGAAAGAAAGAGCATTTGAAGAGACAGGAAAACAATGAGAGGAGAGCAGTGCATGAAAGCTAAGAGGTGTGCAGTGCTAAATAGTCATGCAAATTCCTTCATGCAGACTTTGCGTGCTATTCCATCAATGTCTATTTTAGTATAAAAGTAGTATGTTAAATCATCTCCACCCCTGCTCGCCCCACTTACCCCTCAAATTTTCAAGTTAAATTTGCCCTGCAAGACTTCTTGTTCTTTGGGATTCAAGCATACACCACCGACACCTCGAGGAGCTTACATCCAGTTTGGGAAACGTAGGTGCAGGTCTCCAAGCCCCCTTCAGAACCCTGACCGTGGCTGGCACTCTCCCAGCAGCAGGGATAATGTTGGCTCAACCCAAGGTGTCCTGCTGAGATGAATCATGAACCATGGTGGGGGGGGGGGGGGCGGAATAGGGGAAACTAGTTGAATTTGAAAGCTAGATGAAATTTTCCTATTATAAGATGTATTTTTGTCCATTTTCTAAATGAACTCCAGTTATATCCAAAACATAATTTAGGCAGTTTTAAACAGTTATGGGAAGAAATATTTGAACATACAGAAAAGTTGAGTAAAAATTAGCTCTGTCGTTCAGTTAGTTGTCTTATGGATGATGCTTTTCATGTATTAAGGATGGATTGTTTTATATTACCCATTGATTTCTTTAAACTTAGCTTTTATGTTTGTCAAAATTATACATGTGTATCATTGAAGGAGGCAAATAGTTACAAAAAGGATGTATAAGAAAAAATACCAGTTTGTCCCTTCTTCTTTGCCCCAGAAATGTACAGCCTTTCAACTTTGGATCGATTGTTTTTGGTATCTTTCTCCGCAGCTTTAATAAGCATACTTGTATAACATCCATAATTTCACCATAACACTCATCAGATTTGCCTCAGGTTGCTTATGTTTTCTTGATTACATTTGTAAATTCAGTAACAATCATTGCTCAGGAGCTCTATGCATGTTTACAAAGAGCTTTATTTCTTAAAGCATTACGCTTACCTTTTATGTTCCAGGCACCTGTATTGTCTACCTACTTGGTCATCACTTAGAAGTCACTCATTAATTTTATACTTTTCAGTGTTGTCAGTTAATTATTTTAAAAGTTGTATCACTGAGTGGCGTAAGTTAGTAAAAGATATTTAAGCTTAATACATAGCAAACTTAGACATAAGAACCAAATTCTAAGGCAGAAATTTTAAGGGATATTATTTCCCTGTCTTTGTCCTGCAAAATCTTTGATAATTGAGTTGTGGAAGAATAGGTGAATTGAGGACTTTAAGTGAAAGAAAGTAAAGGATTTGTTTATTATAGTCATACCATAAAATAAGAACTGTATAGTTCTAATTTACAAGTTTTATAATAAAATTATTTATATTTATTCTTTTACTTAATAATCATACTTTAACTATATTTTTTAAACAGCCATAAAAGAATATATGAGGGGGCAGGGGACATGAGAGAGGGAGGGGACAGGGAGAGGGCCGCTGTGAGTGAGCTGCTGTGAACTGCCCCGCCACTGCGACTGGACCCTGCTGAGGGGAGGCCGCGTCTTGTTGCACTTGTTACGAACTCCGTTTCCTCAGAGTTCGGTCTTACCGGCTTATGGTTCTGCAGTCTTGGCTGCCCGGTGTGCTGATCACAAGGGATGGTTGTGCGGTGCCTCTCCCTCTCTGTGTTCTCTTCAGCAGCCCAACGCTTTTCTGCTGTGGCCAGTATCTGGTGTGTGGTAGGACTTTTTTAAACCCCCTTTGCCCTGGAAAGTCACTCCTTCCATGATTGAGCCAGAGCTGAAAATATCTCCATTGCATAGCACCATCGCACTTCCTGCAAAATACCAGGGCATTCCCACCCCCCGCCCAGCACGGGCTGTAGGGCTGTAGCGGCACTACCATTGGAGGCAGAGCACAGCTAGAAAAGAGGGTCGTTTTCAGAGAGCCGGGTTTGTGAATCCACTGTGTTTACGGAGAATCCACCTGCACTGCCCCTCACACACCTCAAAAACAAAGTTAAAAAGAAAGAGATAGTGGAAAACGATGATCCAGGATTTGTATCTAGCCAGGTAATCGGAGAGAGAATGTAACAGCCATGTGCGAGTAACTCGCCTGTGACTAACCCAGGCGATAAATTACTTCTTGACAAACTTCTTGTCATAGAAAAGATGTTTAGAAGTAAATTTATGCATCTTTGAATTTTGAGAACCGACGTTTGAGGACATTTCCATTTGTTTAATGAAGACGTGGTTTAATTTAAACCAAAAAAGGTTCACAAGCTGGCAGAAGGTGAGCAGTAAGTGATATTTGGGTATAGAGTGCTGAGAACAGATCACATCAAAACATGTCACGAGTTACAGAAATATATTTATTGACATAAAAAAAATAAAACGTCACAAAATAGTCCTAGTTGGTATGGCTCAGTGGATTGAGCGCTGGCTGGTGAACCAAAGGGTCGCAGGTTCGATTCCCAGTGTAGGGCACATGCACTACACTGTAGGTTGCAGGCCCGGTTGCCAGTAGGGAGTGCACAAGATGCAGCTACACACTGATGTTTCCCCCTCTTTCTCCCTCCCTTCCCCTCTCTAAAAATAAATAAATAAATAAATAAAATGTTTAAAAAGGTCATAAAATGACATAGCTGTTCATGATTTAATCGTAGGTTTAACATTAGCATTTATTGGCATGCTTCCCCCCCCCCGAATGTTTATTTGTAAACAGATATGTAGGTCCCTGTATCTCAAATTTTAGAGGAAACATTCAAATACTTTCTTCAAATGAAGTCTTAGGCAAAATTCAAAAGAAGTATTACAGTGCTATGCAATAGAGATATTTTATGTTGACGTGGGGCGGGGGGGATACAAGGTAGGGTTCCGGTAACAGATTTACCTCTCATGGGGGGGCGGTGTCAGGGGCAGCTAAATATAGGCGTTTGGAGCTCGGTTTGAAAACCACTGATCTAAGTGATCTGTAAGGTTTATCTCAAAGTGCGATCTTTTGGTGTCTTATACAAGGTTTAATGCCTATGAGTATAACTTATTTTAGTTTATTTAGTGAAAGAAATCGTAACTTCTGAAATATTCCCCAAGTTACTTATGTTGTTTGTCTTGTTAACTTTGTTATTTCATGGTGAGTTCTTGGAAGAGTTGGTTTCCTTTTGCATGATTTAATATTGTGATTTACGTGGTGGAAATTTTTTTCTGCTACCCACAAAAAATTAAAAACGTCCAGAAGTTCATTTTCTGCAGGGTATTATGCGGTGAGTTCCTTCATAGCAGACAGTCGTTACCAAGTAGAAAGAGTCCACGTTGAAACTGGCACATAAGGATTGGAGGGTCTGATGGGAGATTTGGCCAAGGCTCTACCCAAGGTTCTCCCAGCTCTGAGACCCTGTGGCTGACTGAAGAGGAAGGGGGAGCGCACCTGGAAGTGTGTGGGCCCCCCCACCCCCCCTCCCCGCCCCGGCGTGCTCAGGAGGAGCCGCAGGAACACAGCAGGGAAGAAGCCTCTGGAGAGACCCAGAGAGTGGGCCTGTTGCCAGTGCTCTTTGGCTGAGCTCCTTATCTACCTTTTGCTTCAGTTTCCTCAACTGTAAAACAGAGAGAGAGAGACCTGTTAATTGGAAGTACAGTGTATTGACTAAAGGACACTTTGGGTCCAAACCTCACGGAACTAGTGGCCTGTGAGTGACAGCTGCCGCCCCTCCATTGTCAGCACCTGTGTGTTCCTCCGCACGCAGGTGGTTAGAAGAGCAGGTGGTCAAAGGTGTTTGAAAAGTAAAAGTGTTCTACGGTTCTAAGGTCTCTCTGTGTTACTGTTTCTCGCACATACTGGTAGGTTTCCCAGTTCCTACTGATTTTGAAAGTCCCATAAAATTACTTTCTCAAACACAGGTTTTCTTCCCAAATTAGGATTTCAAAAATATGTCTTCTGTTGGCACCACTTTTTTTCTCACTCACGCCTTGTGCTGCGCCCGCAGGTAAAGCAGGCAGCGCGCAGCGAGGCGTCTGTCACGGCCGCCATGCCGTTCCCGTTCGGGAAGTCTCACAAATCTCCCGCCGACATCGTGAAGAACCTGAAGGAGAGCATGGCCGTTCTGGAAAAGCAAGACATTTCTGACAAAAAGGCAGAAAAGGTATGTGTTGGGCACTATTTTGTATTTTCAATCTTTAGATCAAGAGCAAGTGTAAGGCAAATTACGACATGATTTTTAAAAATTAATAATCCCAATTTGGGTTTTTAATAGTTCTAAAGTGGTGTTTGCGGCTGCTTAAACACTGTGTGTTCTCCTGTACTGCCGCCTACCAAACATATTTCTAACTTTTTTCTCCATTTGTCACAGTGTCTCATTAACTGCAGGAACCCCTGCTTCCTGAGGGGTTTATGGCTTGATTCTGGCCTCCATTCCTACTTAATAAAGTCCTCATGACCTCTCATTTCTAAAATATCTCCCTTGCCCTCAGCCTTCAGGCTCCTTGAGTGGCACCGGAGACCCTTTGTGACCTCATCTCTGCCTCTCAGAGTGGATTTCAGCCCCTTGTTCTTCGTCTTCTAGCATCTCGACTTGCCTCTGTTCATTGAAAGCAAAGAATCAGCACTCTTTTGGTCAGCTGCATGGTGATAAGACCTGCAGTGATGGCTGGTACAGTTTGCTGTCACTGTCTTGACTCTGGGTAAAGGGTCCCCACCATCAGTGCAAATGACACTCTAGTGGAAAGGGGCAAATAGTTTGTTACTTTGATATGAAAACACTTTTGACCCCACGGACCCTTTGAAAGGGTCTTGGGGACCCCAAGGGGTCCAGACTTTGCAGTCTACTATGAAAGTTAATGAATGCGGATGTATGGGTGGTGCTGGGGAGGGGGGTATCCTTATTTAGATGGGTTATGGGGGATCTTATGGAGGAAGGGGCATTGGAGTTGAATCCTGTAATGAGAGAAAGCAAGCTTAGTTTCTGATGGCGTTCATATCATCTACTGGACTAAAATCAGTAGTTTTCAACGAGGGGCAATTTCGCCCTCAAAAGGACATTTGAGAATGCTTGGAGACATTGTTACTTACGACATGGGAGGCTACTACTGGCATTTAGTTAGTACAAGCCAGACATGCTGCTAAACTTGGGACAGTCCACCCCCCCACCCCCATCCCCCCCCCAAGAACTATCTGACCCAAAATGTCAGGAACTCCAGCTATAAACCTAAGCACAAATATACCGCCTGCTATTAGGATAAACAAAGCAAAGGAAAATCATTGAATTTTTGAAAAATAAATTTTTTTTATTTTAAAGTTTATTTATTTTCAGCAAGTGGTGAAGGGAGGGAGAAAGAGGAACAGAAACATCACTTGCCCCCAACTGGGGACCTGGCCCACAGCCCAGGAAGTATTAACTAATTCAAATGGTAATGAGAGGGAATTGAGACCTGAAAACAATGGAAAGATAAAAATCTAATCACTAAATTAAAAACCAAGAAGAACCACTTTGACGTCATACCAAAGACTGAAAAGCTGAAGGTAGTTTCCTTAAAACCGGAGTGCTCACGCCGGCCATTGAGCCGTAAACCACCCAGTGTGTAAAGAAACAGTCTGGAGTAAAAGCTATTGCAGATAAAGAGCGGAAATTACAATGCTGGGATATTCATGTATCTTTACAAAACACAGAATCAATTCAAAAATGAGAGCTCACTAGGGCAGCTAAATCAATAGGAAATTCATAACTTTTATAAATACCAATCAAAATTATCTAGAAACTGTAATTTTTTAAAAAGTATTTCATTTACAACAGCACCAAAAAAGTATAAGCTGTCTGAGAATACTTCCATCAGGAATTATGCAAGAACCTATTGTATGTGGAAAAAAATTGTAAAACCTTATTCAGAGGCACAATAGACTGAATACCTGGTTCACATTATCAAATAGAATATAGGTAAGAGGCCATTTCTTCTCAAATCAATTTTTGTGCTAAAAGCAATTTTATTCAAATCGCAGGATCTTTTTGTAACTTGACAAAAAATGATTCTGAAGTTCTGGGAGAATAAATAAAATAGCATAAAGTTGTGGCAGAATATAAGGAATACGAATTCTTCTTTGTTTTGAAGTAAAACACATACTTTATGTATCTACTCGTCATCTGCCCCATAATGGTTAATGAAACTCCGTCCTTCTAGCTGTTCAGGTCAAAGTCTCGCGTCATCCCTGCGCCTCTTCACACTTCCCTAGGACGGCTCTGAGCAAAGCCGTCCCCTTTATGGGGGCGGGGGCGTGGAGCCAGGATCTCGCCGCGTCTCCCCATTTCCTGGTCGCCGGCCCGGCCTCGGCCGTCGTGCCCTCAGCTGGGTCGCCGCGGTGACCTTCGGGTCAGTCTGGCTCCCTTGTCCCCCTACAACCATCATGGTTCTTTTACAATACGAGTCAAATGACGTTTTCCTCAGTGTAAAAATCAAAGTCCTTACAAGGGCTCAAACTAAGTTCTACAGCCCAAATCCTGCCCATGCTTGTTTTTTAAGGCTCATGAGCTAGCAGTGGTTTTTAAATTTTTAAAGGGCTGGTTTAAAAAGCAAAGAATATGCAACCTTTTGTGGCCTGAGTAGCATGAAATAGGACTGCCTCCCCTTTTCCTGAAAAATAAATGCTGACCCCAGCCCATGGCCTCCATGGTTCCTTCTCTTAGTATTGCCCCGACATGGGGCATTTTTTATTTTTTTACACACTCCAGTCACACTCTTGTCTTTAGGTTTTTGCATTTGACAGTTCCCTTTGCCTAGAACGTCCTTCCCTCAGCTCTCTGCTTGGCTTATTCCCTTCTTGCGTTCAAATGTTTGCTCAGTGTTGTTCTTGACCCAGCAACCCCACGTTTAAAATGCAGCCCTGCCCTCTGGCATGCCTGCCGCCCCCACCCCACCACCACCACCACCTCCGTCTTGTTCTGCCATATTTTTCCGTGTGGCAGTTAGCATTTTTAATATACGTAGTGGTGTATATTTAATATTTCCTCTGCCTGTTAGAATATAAGACTTCCAAAGACAGAGCTCAATAACTGTTTGTATTTATTGAAAATGGAGTACGAAGCAGAGTTAACATGAAGCACTGTCACCCAAACTCTTAATTTATACTAAATAGGATAAAATAACGTAACAATTTATATGTTGAGTTTGTGACTAATGAGAGAGTATCATAGCCAGGTATATTCTGAATGTTATAATGGTGGCTGAGTATCGCATTCCGTTTTAGTACAACACCCACAGAAGCAGTGACATAAATGATCCTTCTCAAGAGGTCTGCTCTGTTGGTCCTAGTATCTTCTAGTACAGATATGATGAGTTACCACTACACGCCATTAAAATGGCTCAAATTAAAAATATTTGCTATACCGAATATTGGTGATGGTGCAGAGCAGTGGGAACTGCTGGTGGGACTACGAGATGATATAACTACTTTGCAAAAAGTTTGGCAGTTTCTTAAAAAAGCTAAATTTATATCTTGCCATTTCACTCCTAGGTATTTACCCAACAAAACAAGAAATGTATGTGCATACAGAGGCTTGTACATAAGTGTTCATGGCCACTTGATTTGTAATAGTCCAAAACAGGAAAGAGCCCAGGTCTGTAAATAAGCCAGTTGGAGTACAGCGATAGTTCAGAACACTACTCAGCAATAAAAAAAGAATGAACTGTTGCTCTACACAGCAGCATGAATGAATCTCAAATAATTGAATGTTGTGTGAAAGAAGCCAGACTACAAAAAGTATATAGTGTTATGATTCTGTTTATATCAAACTGCATGGAAACCACTGTAACAGAAAGCAGATGAGTAGTTGCTCTGGGTTTGGCGGGCTTGATGCGGTGAGTGGGCCGCAGAAGAATCGTGGTGGTGAGGGCTGGGTTCACGTTCTGATGGGTCATGGATGTATAAGTAAGTCCAAACTTACCAAAGCGTACTCTCTAAATACGTCTGGTTTGTTTTATGTCAGTCATTGCTCAATAAAGAGAGCTAGAAGAGACTCCCCCGGTACTGAGATAATGGTGGCTTAGAAAGCACAGGTGTTGGCCCTGAGAACAGATCCTGTCATAAAGCCCCCAGAAAGACTGTTGGAAGCCTAGGTGGATACAGTAGAAATACAGCGCTCAAATTCAAAGCGATTATCTTCTCTGTGCAGACAAGTCCATACTGGAGGGTATGGAGAAACTAGAGTGGGTTAAGAAGGACGTGACCAGGCTGGTACAGAAATTCAAAATTCTGCCATGAGAAATAATTAGAAAGTGGGGGATATGAAGTAGAGAAGAATAAAATTTGAGGCCTAGACCTCTTAGTAAAGTGTTTTAGGGAATCATCTAATAGGAGAAAAGGAAAGGTTGCAGATGGTGGTAGGAGATAGAATTAAGACCTGTGAGTGGAAGTAAAGCAGGGAGTCCAATTTCATCTGGATATTAGGAAAAATAACAGGCGGGTGTTGGCTTCCTCGGTAGATAGCAAGTTTCCTGCTTCTGGATGTGGATCAGTGTGGGCCAGGGTGCCACGCAGGTCTTGCTGAAGGAGTTCGAGCCCCCGCGGCTGACACCCTCTCATTGATACAACGCTGTGTTTTGCAGGTGCCTGCATCGTATTTTGCAGTAGAATAGTTTCCTGTTATTATTCTCCATCTGCATGAAGAAAGCTTATTTTTCCCTAGGTAACCCATCATCCCTAGAGTCAGAGATGGTATTCATTCCTAACTCTGCCAAACCCATGGTAAAAATAACAGCTATTTCTACTTTATTCATTAATTCCATTTCTCATTCATTTCCTATGATGTTATAGACAAATGATAAATAAAACAAATGAATGCTTATTCCTTTACTTGTAATATGTTGGTACTTTTATTTGTTTTATATAGTACACAGTTGCCATATTAAGAATTGTATATGATACAAATAAATTAGTCCCTTGGGAACTATGCCACACCTTTCTAAAAGAATTTGAAAACTACTTCCCTTATACCTTTAGGGAAAAAGATGGTTTATCTTAGCATTCTTATTTTTAGGTAACTGGGGCATGGGAGTGGAGTGGGGTGAGGTAGAATTTGTTCTTTCATTGCGGACAGCCACAGGTCTGGTGTACGAAGTGACTATTTATACACTCTTTGCGTGCTGCATGCTATAT